CCCCAGCCCTTGTCATGCGGGACGTGATAGCTAGGTACTTAAAAAAGCATGGAAAAAGAGGCAATGGCTTACTTCACTCAAAGAAAGCAAATGTAATATGCTAATTTTATCAACTATGGATATGTACATAATTAATATAATGAATAGTGATTTACCTAAGTAAGGTGATACAGATATATTGAGGGATGGAGAATGAAGAAACAATACATGTGTTTATGAGAGGGCATTAGAGTATAAATATATAGTTTATTTCCCATAGCTAGAAGTAAAATAATAGACCATACTTAAAAATCAAGAACTAGTAGTATAAGTAGGTTAAGAAATATGGGGATAAATTCCAGAAGAAATAGCTAAATGAAAATTGTCTCGGGGGAGTAGGAATTAAGAATGTAGAGGGTTGGGGCAAAGTCTGCTGTGAAATACTATTTGATTTTTTTAAATGTACTATATTGGTAAAAGTAAATACCAGTAATGTAGCATTTAATTTATTTGAAAATCTTAGTGGTCAGAGAGGACAGACTATTTTTCTTAAGTATTTTTTAAGACACTGGGACACCACCAATACTGATTTAGAACCTCTCTGAAAAAAACTTTAAAAATTCTCTCTGCTTTGGTACTAAACTTGTGTTGCTTTGTTATTTTCAGGGACTGCAGTAATTTGTCAGTAATAGGGACACCAGAATCTCTAGGAACAGAGAGATAATATTTTGGCTTCATACACTTATTTATCTTCATGGTGGGCACCAGCAAGCAAGTGATGGCATGGCACGTTCTGTAGCTTTATAGGCAGCAGAGGGCAGAAAATCTAACTAATGGTGCCAAGTAGGAGGGAGCATCCTGGTGATGCAAACAGTAAAGGAGAGGGCTCATCATATTGGATATTCCCAGATATGCTTAGAAATAACTGGAAGAACTTCTATGTGTGTGTCTCCTGCCATAACCGCTAGAGGCACAATCAAGGAAACCATCGTCATTGATGCTATGCATGACTGTTCTGGACTGGTGTGGCCTGAGAAAGTGCTGGGTACATCAGGAAGGACGGGGTGGAGAAATAAGAGAGAGGCATCTAGAGAGCTATTTCTTCAACTGGAGGAGAAAGAGGGTGGGGGACTGCAGACAGAGCTGGCAAAACCTCGGTCCCAGATATACTTGTCCCAGATACATAAATTGTCACTTCTGCTTCCTAACCTTCTGACTTCCACACATACATTTAAGGAAGGCTTTCCTTAAGAAGGGAGAGGGCTTAGGCCTGATGGGAGGGTGCCCTTGGGCCTGTGTTACTCCTTAGAAGGAATGAAGTAGGGAAACCTAATCACAGGGAAGCAAGGAAAAGAAAGGGCTGAAAAGAGTGGGTACTGACTAAGGCCAGTCTTGCCTGTAAAAAGAACAACTCCAATGTGACCTGAAGATCGAGGAAGAACCTAGGTCAGAAATCTCCCCTGTCCTGCCTATTACAGTGCCCCAGATCCCAACTGCACTTCTTTGGGCCTCTCAGCTTCACCCTCTCATGGTCAGAAAGGAATCAATTAGGGATTCAAGTAGGTACCTGATCCTTTGAGACTGACTAGAGCAGCGGTTCTCAATCTTCCTAATGCCGNCTCTAGATTCAGCAGGAAAAAGAGCCCCTCAAAGGAGACTCAATGGTGGGTAAAGATGGGACACTGCCAACCCATGACTGTGGAGAGCCCTGCCTTTCATATGACATCTGCTGCTTGCTGTCTGGGTCCCCCTTCCCTTGCTCCTATTGAACAGTACGTTTCCTCTCCATAGTGTGCTGGAAAGGATGTGAAAGCCTTGGTTGACACAGGCTGTCAGTATAATCTCATCTCTTCAGCTTGTGTGGATAGACTGGGGTAAGTAGTCCCTTGTCTGGGTGGAATTCAGATGCTGATCACTCTTTTGCGATTAGAGATGGCGAGGGTTTCAACAGAGGTTCCAAGAGAAATGTGCAGAGCTCAGATATCAGCTGGAACTGGTCCTTAGTAGAGGGACAGAGTGGTGTGTGTTCAGTCACCTGCGAGAAATCAGTGAGCCAGGAAAGCCTCAGACTTTCCATTAACTCCCACCTACTAGGTTTTGAGCGAAGACCTTTGGGCTCTGGAATGAGAGAATGTGAGATCCCTGGCTTACTGTGTGCCATGCCCTAATCTTGATTTGTGCCCTGCCCAGAAAACAATTTAGAAGGAGCTGTCCTGTTGGCAGACCCCAGATGAATAAAAGCAGGGGTGTGGTTGGCCTTAGCTTGCTCAGAGTCCTTCTGGAGGTCACAGTGCCTGTCCCAAGAAGCATCAGTCAGAACTTGGAATGGGCTGCTGTTGCTGCTGGCCTGAACCATCATAGGGGTGATTAAGCAGTAGTGTCCTAGTGCCTTTTCTCTCCGTGATGAACATATAAAATCAGATCTTACTGCTGCCCCTGCTGGGCATTGGGTGTGAGACAGACACCCTGTATATTGAATGTCTTTAGTTGGTAATGGGTTCTCCCTTTTTTAGTCAGAGAAAGTCATTTTGAATCTTCCCTCCTTTTCACTCAATCTATACTTTTATTTCTTTCCTTCTTTCTTCTCTTTCCTCCAAAGTGCCATATGGGCCCTCCCAGAATTGGGAGGATCAACCTAATATCCTTTTCTACTTCTGTAACCCTAATTGCAACAAATCATTCCCTAGCCCAAATCTCTACATCAAAACAATCACTAGGGTAGATATAATGGCCCATTTNGGTGGAAGTTAGGAATATAGAGGCAGATATGAAAACATAATTTTACCATAATGAGGGTAATTAGGAGAGATCTGCATAAACAGAAGAGAGTACACTTAAGTCAGCGAAAGCTTTCTAGCTTCAAAGACCCCTGACCTAAGGGAAAAGTAGGTATCTGAGTATGAGCAGGGCAGAACAAGAGGAAATGACCCCTCCACTTCTATTGCATCACCTAAAAGTACATTCAATTTTTTGACATATACCTCCCCAAACCCTTAGCTCTAGCTGTGCCAGTGCCTCCCCATCACCCCTCTCCTTATCCAGTCCTCTTCTTTCAGTCTCCAGCAAGGCAACCATCTTATAGTCACACTCCACTCACGGCAGCCACATTTTGTATTCTAGAACAGCGATGCCTAACATAAATATTAAAATTTATAGTAGCCACATTAAAGAAGTAAAAAACGAGTGAAATTATTTTAATAATATATTTTAACCCAATATATCCAAAATATGTAACCTTAGTATCAAAATATCAAGATTTTTTTTGTACTTAATCTTTGAAATCCATGTATATTTTACACTTACAGCATATCTCAATTCAGAGTCATATTTCAAGTGCTCAGTTGCCACATGTGGCTAGTGACAACTGTATTAATAGTGTAACTCTAAAATTCTTCCTAGACTGAGTGTACTTGGTGTTTCTCCATTAAACAGATGAGGACTGTCAGACTGAGGCATTAGTATTTATTTCCTCTAAGCCTCTGTACCCCCATCAAGGCCCTGGGAACAATTTTGAAGGAAGATAAGGCCTATGAGGTTTCAGCCAGAGTGAACACTCCTTTTAGATGCCAGACCTAGACAATTAACCCTAAAAGGATCCCAAACAAGCTGACAAGTGAGCTTTTAGCAATCACAGATCCAGATTTGACCCCACGTGTCTCCAGATTGTCCTCTGGTCAGCAGAACACCCACTACAAAGCCTTGATATTTCACTTCTGTGATGGGATGGCATCTTCATAGGGCAGCCTGGAGGGGTCTTGAAGGGTCATCTAGTCCTGCCCTTCTGGTTCTGGTTGGAACTGGGCATCACTCGCCACTTGGGACTGAAAGGGGTTAAATACATTTGGTGCAGTATCAGACACCTTCTTTGTTAGATTCCAGCATCAACAAGAAACATGGGGAGAAAAATGCTATTAATTAAAACATTTCTACAAACTTAGAAAACCACCTTTAAAAAAATGTTTATGAAAGAAACACGGGTATTCCACGGGAGAATTTGAAATCCATACATAAAGGCTTTAACTGAGCCAAGAACCAGAGGCCCAGAAAAGGCAAGCGTTGCCCAAGGTCACTGAGCAAGTGCGCAGTGGTTGTGATGAGCCCTGTAGCCTTTCCACTACCCCCAACACCTTCTGTCTCCACTAACTGAAAAACATTTTAATTGGAGACAATGCGCCATGTCCCGGGTTCTCCTAAATTACCTGCGGAGGATGACCCGCACTGGAGAAATACGGGTTAGCGCTACCCCAACTTAGCGGCTAGCCGCTCTGAATAGGATTGTAGCGCCTCCATCACCCAACTTCTGAAGTCCTGGGTGGAGGAGGCTACTAGGGCGGTTCTTTCGCCAACTCCACACCTTCCGGAGCCCGACTTGGCCCAGCCCAGCCCAGCCCAGCCCAGCCTGCCGCTGTAGCCCAGTTCCTGCGGGCAGGCTGGACCTAGGCGGCCTGCCCCCAGCGGGAGGCAAGAGAGGAGTGCCAAGCGGAGACTGCACCCTCGAAGGCAGCTCAGAGATTTTTAGAAACCCTGCAGGAAATGGCGTCCGAGAGGCGCCTGGGCTGCAGGTTAGTACCCAGAGTGCTGGAGAACATCCCTGACCCTCTGACAGGGGAAGGGACGGCTCGGCCAGTCCCATTCCCGTCTGCACGCCTAGCACCCGCCCCGCCATCCTCGGCAGGGATGGGCCGCCGTCTCATTAATTCCTGCGATTTAGGCTCACTCCGGCCTCCGGTGTCTGGCAACGAACGACTCCGGCCTCGCAAGGGTCGCGGGACGTTCACATCTGACACACCGGGCTGGCTGGGGGGTCTCCGTGGGTGGGAGGACTCCCCAGCGCATCGGCGGTCCACAGCTCCCGCTGCTTCGGCGCCTGGGAAAGATATCCCAGCGCCTCAAAGCTCTGCTGGGCCAAGGCTGATCCCCCCCAGAGGCCCCCTTGGGTGCCCGGGCCCGAGCCTAAGACCGGCCAGCGCCAGCACCGCGCAGCCTCGGACCCTTCGCACCGGGAACCGTTTCCGGGGCGGATGCTTTTTACAGTTGACCCGGCGCGGCCCGTGACGCGAAGGCCCAGACGGAAGTGCTGGCGGAGGAGCCCGAGCCTGAGCCCGAGCCGGGAGCAGGTCTCGGGGGGCTCCGGGCTGTGGGCGCTGCTGGGTCTCGCAGCGATGGCAACCCAGTGGGGAGGCCTCCTTCGTCTTGGCTCCTTGCTCAGCCTGTCCTGTCTGGCGCTGTCGGTGCTGCTGCTGGTGCAGCTGTCAGACGCCACCAAGGTGAGTCCCTCCCAGCCTGTGCGCCAGACAGGAGCTCCCCCCCTGCGTCCGGCCTGGCGGGGGTCTGTCAGCCTGCTCCCCACCCCATTCCTTTCCCAGACCTGACAGCTCGACCCCTAGCTTTACAGTCCCCCACCCGTCGCCCTCCCGCCTGTCCGATAGCACTCTCGCCCCCCTGCCCTGACAGTCTGACCACCATCGCCCCCACTCCCAGCACCAACCCCGACTACTCTCTTCTTTCCCCCCCTGATACCCGACCCCGGCCCAGCTCCACCCACAGCCTGGACAGCAACTCCTCCACCTCCTTGCGATTTCCCTCCTCAGCCCCGACAGCACCCACTTCCAATTTTACAACCTTTCCAACTCTGGGAGCCTTTAACGTTCCACCCTTAAGCTCTGACAGTCTACCACCACCCTCCACCAGCCTCACAGACTGTTATCCTGCCCCCATTCCACAAGCCAAAATGATAGAAAGAAAGCCCTCACTCACAGAGGTCTTCCTCCTTAGGAATGAATTCATCTCAACTCATTCCTGAGCAGATTCCCTTCCTGTTGTGGGAACTTGACTCCTGGCAGCCTTTCTTCCCGATAGGACCTAGAGAGCCCCTCTCACCGGCCTAATATCCTCTCATCTAACTCCCTCCAGGATCTCTTGGCCCCTTTCTTGCCTTCTCTCTGATAATTTAGTGGGTAAGGGACGATCCGCACTACAGGAGAGGCGGTGAGGTTCTGGCCTTCTCATCTTGCCCCGCTAGTCCCGTCATGCTGCTTTCTAACATCCTTCACGCCCCTGCTCTCCAGACCTGCCCTGGCCCCAGTCACACTCCTGCTTCCTCCTTGATGAGCTAGGAATTCACCTTAATGTAATGGGAAAACAGAGCGACGTTTGCATTTTTTAAAAAATAGGAGCTTTAATCTATAATATCTTTAAATATAGGGGCTGGGAAAGACGGATTCCAGGCAAACAGAGGAGGGGGCGGGGTTGATGAGGGGTTCTTGATCAGGGATTGTTTTTGAAATCTTCCCTACCTCCCACCAGAAACAGGAACAGCAGCAAGTTTCCTGACTTTCAAATTATTGCTGGCACTCTCTAAATACCTCCTGTCATCACTTTAGGTACTGTAGTATAATCATATATTTATTTGTCAGTCTCCTTTACTAGGGCGTGTCCCAATGCCTGGCAGGGACCCTGTCTTACACTTAGCTGAATCCACCTCATTGAGCACAAATTCCAGCACTGAACAAATGCTCACTAAGTGATTGCTGAATGAATTGTCAACAGCTCTGCCAGACATACCACCATATACAGGAGCAGTGTGCCTGGTCCTCTGGGGTCTCATGAGCCACGCTGCCTTCTCAGATAGATTCCCCTTTGTTGAGGAGGCATCTCCTACTCCCTTTATGTATTAGTCACCTCTTCCTCCTCCTCTTGAAATGTGCTTTATCAGTAGTTGTCCTCTTTGTCTACCAGGGATTAGAAGCAAAGTTTCCTCTGAGGAGTAGACCAAACTGATCTCAGCTAGACTCAAGCTACTTCCCTTATGTACTTTCTTTATAATTGTAGCTGAGTGCTTTGAAAACCTCATCTCTTCTATAGGAATCTGGCCCGACCTCTTTTATCCATATTAATGCCTTTCTACCAAAGAGTGGAAGGATGGTGAATAGAGGAATTGTGACTTGTTTTTTTTTTTTAGTATTTTTTATTATAATTTGATTCTTCCCCATCCTTTTATAGTCAGCATTCTTCCTTGTGGGCACAGCTATCCGTCTACTTTGTCTTTCTGCAGCCAGGTAGATGGTGATAACGGCACAATTTGATTGTCATCTGACCCATAAATGTGATTGATAAGTCACAGATCACATGTTAGGTATTATTTCAAAATGATTTTATTTACTATACAATGATTCATTAGCATTACCAAAAAAGAACCAGTAGCTTTTAAAAACTTGGATCTCTCAAAGTTATTTAAAGTTTTAAGTGAATAGTTTTAGAATGTTTGGCAGGGATGCTTAGCAAAATGTATATGATGCAGTTTTAAAAAATATTGATGATAAACTATCAATAAGCTATACTAAGTTTCTATTTTGGTCACAGGATTTCGAGGATGTTCGATGTAAATGTATTTGCCCTCCCTATAAAGATACTCCTGGACATATTTATAATAAAAATATATCCCAAAAGGATTGGTAAGTATACTGGATTATGGAATTACCTGTCAAATTTCTTTCTGTGTTGTCACGGTTAGCTCAGAATGTTCATCCAATCTATTGTTTTCTTTTAAGTATTGTTTTTAAAGCAAAAGTGTCAAATTCCATTTCCACTTGAAAAAGTAAGAGTAAGGCCCTGAGTGCATGATGTAAGCCTAAAGGACTATAGCAATACACTAAGCCCCAGGTAGAGAGGGTTTTCTGTGGGGATAGGGCTGAGTTTGTGCTACCTAAACTACAGATAGCTACCTTCCTGCGCCCCCTTAAACTTTGGTCCTCCCGCTTGCTTTTTAGTGGAAGGTAAGCAAGCCTCATTTATCTGTGTTATAATTTTTACAACTTGCAGATTTTGATGCTGTATTGCCAAATATAGGAGACTATGTTTAAAAGCATCAGCAAGCTCAGGAAGGAATGGGAATGAGCCATGTACATCCGAGTTCCCCAATTGGTGTGCCATCAATAGGTTATAGACGTGCTAAGATATTGATCCATTCAGCCTTGGGGTAATCAGGCAGGCCTGTGACAACTGGGATCCTGACTGGCTAGCCCCCAGCAGCCTTCTCTGTTTATCTCAGTGGACCTTGCAAATGATAGCTTTTTCTATGTGTACCGTGAAATGGTTGGCAAGCAGTTGTTTTGTGGCAGGATGGATGGGCTTCTTCCCATGGAATTGTGATGTTTTATGGTTTGTGGCAGTAACTATAGTGGGAGATTACCAGGATAGGCATAGAAGAAAAATAGCTCCAAATGCTACATACTTTCCCATGTACTTGACTTCACAGCTGAACAGCCTGCAAAAGTTGGAAAGCAAAATTAAATTCATTCAGTTACAATATTCCAAGCTGACTTTGAAAAAGAAAAGGCAGGCTTTGAGCATGTTTAGTTTTTCTGATATTGTTTATTCTTCCCATTTTGGTTCAGTCTGATATTTGATAATTGTGTTCTTGATAACTTTTTGTGAACGTCCATGTTGCACTTAAATTGTCTCATATACAAAGTGATTTAACTATATTCTTACAGGTTTTATATCAGCAGGTTACTTTATATGATAACAATAAGTTTTTTAGTTATTCCTATAAATTTCCCAAATATATTAAGCACTTACAGTTTATTCTATTATCAGTAATGGCAAGTGAACTCACTAAGTGTTTAGCACTAATCTTTTCACTGACTTTTTGTTATTCTAGATTCAGACAGAATCATGTCATCCATCCCTGGTTTTTGGTTAAAATAGGGAGATTTGAAAATAAACAGTTGAAAACAAAGCTTGTTTAGGATTTTTTCTTCCCTCTCTCCCTTGCTTCCTTTTTTGCAGCTTGGTCTTTTACAGAGGATAGGTTCCCAGTTGTCACTGAAAGTTTTTAACTGGCAGAAAGGCAGGCAGATTTTAATTAATTATGGTGTTATGGCTTTATGAGGCCTCCGATATCTGTCTGGCCCTAGATGTATTTTCACCTTCTGGCCTCCATTTGATCCAGTTGTTAGCTTTAATTCTTCATAGACTTCCACTGTGTGACAAGAGAAGTTTGAGTTCTCTGGTTTGTGCTTGGGGTGTGATTTAAAATGCCATCCTCTTGGCACTAGGGGGAGGTGTTGCTTGGTTCCTAAAGCGGCTGAGGCCTCAGGGTTTTGTGTTTACAGTGACTGGCCAATGAGAACCAATCTCCCTGCTTCCTCTCCCACCCTGCACAACTTCTGCACAGCACTCAAGTATTTATTTGTTATTAAACTGGATTTGTACTTCAAAAGAAACACTCAGTACTCAGCACTTAGATTCCCAAATAATTCTTAGGTATTTTTACTGAGGCTTCTGAAGCTGAAATAGGAAAGTAAATCGGAGATAAATCTCATTTTCCTGAGGTTCAGAGAGATACAGGGGGCCTGATCTAGGAGGCAGGAGCTTTGGATTCTGGTCCTCTTAGCTACTGATTTACTCTATGATCTTGTGCAGATGACTTCTCGGAGAATGCTGGACTGGGTGGGCTCTGTGATTCTGAAATAGACGCCCCTGTCATGGGATCTAACTTCCTCTGCCCATTTTATGCTGCATCCAGCTTGATACTTTCCTGGTCTTCTATATGTTTGGAACAGATATCACTCATATGTTGTGGGACCTTATCTTATTTGAAATTCTACCAGTGAAGACTTATCTTTTTCATTACATACTACCTTTATTAAAGTTACCTGTTAAGTATAACTGACTGAACATTTGTCATTTATGCCATTTTGGGTTTTCTTCTTATGCCATAGCTCAGAGGGATGGAACACAAAAAAGTATGCTTTGATAAGGTGAAGGGAAAGAATCAGCCTGGAGCACTGGGTGTCCCCACGTAGGACAGGTGGGATGAGACAGGAAGCTATTGTAGAATTCTTGTGGCAGCTGGAAATGCCTAACCAAGAGATGACAAAGGGCTGAAAACTGCCCAGGAGCTGGCTAGAGGCCAGGAAAGCCTGGCCTATTTTTGTGGAAGGTGATCAGAGTAGCAGGCTCTTACTAACTGGGGAGAGTAATAATTTAATTATTTACTAGACTTGACAGATTTCTGGGAGAAGATTTTTTTGATAGAATTGTGTTTTCGTAAGCCATAAGTAAAAGCCTGGAAAACAGAGAAAAATAAACAGGCAACATCCAACAACAAAAACATTCAGCCTTTTATTATTTTTGATATACTTTTCCCAAGTAATCGTTTTTCATTTTTCAATATTTTCATTGTCTTAATCCTCCTTTCTTCATGCTTTTTCAATAGATTTTTGCTTATTAATAAAAGTAATTGTTTCTTACTGTAATTTTGAGTGTTCAGGTTTCAGAGTTTCAGACTTTATCAACTGTTAAGTGTGACTAGCTATTCATATACCACACTGTAGCAGTTAAGGATGATGTTAATTAATTCACAAAAGAGATAATCTCATATTTGAACAATGCCCCAGCTCACTTTAAATCACTTAAAGCAGTTTTGCTTGGTAACCGAACAAGTTTGAATATGACTTGATCTGCTAGGCAGTTTTTGATCCCATTTGGGATTTTTCAGGTGCATTTTTAACTAACAGTAGCACTTTTGAAAATAGTTACTACATATGTGTCTTCATGATTTTGTAGACTCTTAAATCTTACCAATTGATGATATTAAGAGAGGAAATGGTTTCACTTCCCTAACTGATTGTTTCTTATATTCTTTCACTGGGTAAGTTCAGTGATTACTCAGGATTTCAGGAAAGTTTTGACCAAGGTGAGTAGAAAATCCAGCTAGACTTAAGCAATATTTTATCTTCGTTTTTTTCAGTGATTGCCTTCATGTTGTGGACCCCATGCCTGTGCGGGGGCCTGACGTAGAAGCGTACTGTCTTCGCTGCGAATGCAAATATGAGGAAAGAAGCTCTGTAACCATCAAGGTAAAAAAAAGGTCCATCTGTTCTGCTTCTGGAATAGTTCTTGATGGTATTAAGACAAGAAAGAGAGTTTTGGGTATCTGAATTCCATTTTAGTTGCCTAAACTGCTCTTCCCCACTGTCCCCATTACCTCCTTCCTCATCTCCAATCCCCATCCCAAAAGGAACAATGGGCCTGCTCTCAGCTTGCCTCATTGAGATGCTCTGTGGATTAATTAGGATAGTTAGATAGGTATGATGTGTGAAATGGCACAAAATGCCCTGTGTGTGATTAACATATCCCAGAAAAATACCCCAGCTTCTCTGTGGGTCACGTGTGCCAAAGGCTAGTGAAAGAGTAGCATGATTAGGGCCTCTTTTTCCTGCCTTCTCAAACCGTTAGAAAAAATTATACAGTGACTATTCTAGAAACATCACTTCTGGATTTTAAGATTTATTTTCTTTATTTGCTACAGGAAATAGAATGTAGATCACTCTCAATACCATTTGGACCTCTATTGAGTTCAATTATTTTAATGTGGTGGCTAACGATTCTTCTTCCCAACTTTTTTTATTTTTTAATTTTTTGTTAACATGGAGCTTCTCATTCCTTTCTCAGAAAGAGGCCTCATGGGAAATCTGGGGTGGTCAGCTGTAACAGTTACTAAGGTTTCTGTTGTGATTGACCCTGTGGCAGAGCTCCTGCTCCAGCAGGGAGCCGTCTTTTAGAGAAATCCTCACTTTACTTTTTTATTTTAAACAAAAATTTTGATGTATGCTTTACATACCCTAAACGTCATTCATTGTAAGTGTACAATTCTATAAAATTTAGCAAATTTAAGACAATTTTTTAAAATCCAGTTTTAGAACATTCCCATCACCCCAAAAAGATCGCTTATGCCCATTTATAGTTAATCACATTCCTACCCCCAGCCCTAGAGAATTACTATTCTGGTTTGTGTCTCTACAGGTCTGGGCATTTCATATAAATGGAATCATACAATATATGGTCTTCTGTGACTGGCTTCTTTCATTTAGCATAATGTTTTGGGGTTTTTTCCATGTTGTAGCATGTCAGTACTTAATTCCTTTTTATTATTGAATAGCATTCTATTATATGAATACACCACATTTTATTTGTCCATTCATCAGTTGATGGACATTTGGATTATTTCCAGATATTTACTGTTATGAATAATGCTGTTATGAATATCTGCATACATGCCTTTCATTTCTCTTGGGTAGGTTCCTTAGAGTTATAAGTTTATGTTTAACTTTTAAAAGACTGCCAGATTGTTTTCCAAAGTGGTTGTACCATTTTAGATTCCCACCAAAAACATATGAGTGTTCAGTTTCCTCCACATCCTCGCTAACATTTGGTATTGTCTGTCCTTAATTATAGCCATACTGGTGGGTGGTGTTAGCACACAAATTAGAGCTCAAGAAAATCACTGGCTTAAAACATATTTTTGTATACCTAAATTGATCTGAAAGAGTATTCTGTTGCAATTCATCTGAATTACATTTTCTATTAGGGCTCCTTTAATTTGTCTTGACAGCAGTGCTGCCGAATCTTGGACACTAGATTCAGGTGACAAAAAAAACTGCTGTGCTAGCAGTGGTGATGAATGATTAGCAGTAGGTGAAGATGGAGTTTGAAGACTCATGAAAAGATCCCAGAGACAAAAATGTTTTCTTTCTTCTTTAAGTAACACCTTGGTGAAGAGTTGAGTTTGTTTCTTATGTTGGAATCTGGTTTGTGTAGAAATTCTTTATGCTGAGCAGATAGATCAGTCTTCACTGTGGCTTTACTATTACACAAAATTCTGATTTCTTGGCTTGAACAGAGATGTCACTTATTTTCAATTCCCTTTAGGTTACCATTATAATATATCTCTCCATTTTGGGCCTTCTACTTCTGTACATGGTGTACCTGACTCTGGTTGAGCCCATACTGAAGAGACGCCTGTTTGGACACTCACAACTAATACAGAGCGATGACGATGTTGGGGTAAGTTCTCAGCGTGCCCTAGCTATGCGCAGCCAGTATCTGCTGTTATCTGGTAGAAAGTGCAAATGAAAAATGGCCGCATATAGATGTTCACGTGCTGGAGCAGATTCCCAACTAGAGAAGCTGAAGTCAGTTCTAATATTAGTATATGTCTCTTTATGAGGAAACTGCTCTGTAGAGCCATAAATATGGTGGTTCAAACTGATGATCCTTGGTAAGTGTGCTGTACAAGGCCTTTCCCGTCAGCACCAAGGGCACAATTTTCATTGCCTTCCCTGTTTACATTGAGAAAAGCATCTGAGATAGTTTTCTCCCCAAGCTCCTGCCTGAATACCTTTCCTGTCAGCATCACCAAATGTCATAGACGGGAAAGAGGCTTTAGTGAAGGGAAGCATGAAGACCGTAATGTTCTTAATGAAGTGAAGCTGGATAAGCTGCTGATGTTTTATATTTCCTGTTATCCTTCTTTAAAAACTTTTGTGACCTTTAACTATCACTCCAGATTCTCTTCCTATCTTTACAACACATTTATGTTTGTGCATCTAGTTGGTATAATTAGTGTATAAGTTGCTTTGTGGTCTCCTTCTTGTGTTACCATTACTTCATTCAAAAATGTCCAGAAATTGACCTAGTCCACAAACTTGTTCTTCGATATAGCTTAGAGAATTATATTACTTGTTTTGTCATTATCCTGTTTGGGATTGTTTCCAAATTTTCGACTATTTTTCATTATTATATATATATAATTTTTTTAGAAATTACTTCTTATTTTGGATTACTTTATTGGACTATGTTCCTTAAAGTGGATCAAATTCAGTAGCGTTTCAAGAACCAATTCCAAAAGCTAAAGCCAGCCTGAGCCCTTGCCAACCATAGTCACAAGTCCTTTGACTCTGGAATGGCTTGTGGATCTGTTGGTAAAAGATGGGAAAGGGGATCCTGACTGGATGGCTTACGTTATAACTACAAACGGAGCCTGTTTTTTGATCCATACATTGGTGTCTCATGGATATCACTTATGAATACTCAACTTATTTGGGAAAGATTTCATTTCTTGTTTTGTCAAGAGCTTTCATAGAAATACCTCTATTTACTTCATTTTCCCTTGCTTCATTTATGAATTCAAACAATACATGAGTAACTTTTTATTATCAAGTATTGTGCTGGATACTAGCAATAAAGAGATGAAAACAGAAATGGGTATGCACAAGAAATAATAATAATAGTGTGTTTACCCCTTTTATTTTTAATCATATTAGAATTGCTTATTTATTTTGAAGAATTCCAGAAGGGGACTGATAGGCTGGGATATAAAGGACAAGACTGGAGATGTAGTCACACACCAGGCAGAGTGGGGCTAGTGGGGTGAGAGAGCTTGGACAGGAGGTTGTGTACTAAAGTTAGTAGACTCGCAAATATTGTTCCCATGTTAATTCACATGACAGGTTTTCTCAGCCTCTACACTATTGATGTTTTGACTTGGATGATGCTTTGTTGTAGGGGCTGTCCTGTTCATCGTAAGATATTTAAGCAGCATCCCTGACCTCTACTCACTAGATGCCAAAAGCATCCTCCACCCCAATCATAACAATCAAAAATGTCCACAGACATAGTCAAATGTCCTTGGGGAGCACAGTCATCCCCAGTTGAGAACAACTAACATAATGAAAACGTTATGTATAAAAGGCCATATTAAACCATTTTGTTATAAGGCACATAGAAAGTCTGACTTAAACCACGTTACTTACTTACAGCATTAAATATCTGGTTTCTGATTTTAGGAATAGATAATATCAATGTAATACACAAAGAACATAAAAGAAATGGATGCACAAATATAAAGACAAAAACATGTAGGAAAGTGATTTGATTGGTGGGGTCATGTGCTTAGTAAGCTTTTTGTTCACCAGTGATTGATTCTGTGTGTAAGTAGACCATTTGAGGACATTGTTTCTGAGAGGCCTGGCTGACTCTTAGATATCTGTTAAACCAATTGTTGGCAGAGGAGGTTTTCTCATCAGAGCTGTATATTTATGGTAACAGCTCTGTACAAAAAGAAGTTAAATTTAAATTCCTACAATTGTTGCTTATCCAAGATGAGAGTTCTTCAATATATATGTGCTTTTTAAAATGCTTCTGTTAGATTCTCAGTTAAATTGTTTTCATTTTTGTTCAGTATAGAGCATTTGAAATCAAGTGAGAGTTAGTACAAATAGTTAAGAAGTTCACTGCAAGTAGTCACAATATTTACTGTATCATATATCCATGACACATCATTGCTATTATCAAAGCATTACATTAAAACATGTTTTGTATTTGTTGTAATTTTATCAGGTGTAAAAAGAACAAACATATAAAAAGGGTAAATCTGTTTACATTCTCCCAGCATCCATGACTGTGAGCAACTAGTTCAATCTTGTTCTGATAGGTGGAAAACAGACCAGANCAGTAGACTGTAAGCTCCTTAAAAATAGGGACCAATCTTATTTATCCTTTATTCTTAGCACCCAGTAAAGAGACTCAAGTCAGGTAGGTGTTGTCAGTAAATATTTGGTGTTACGGTTTTCCTATTCCAATCCTGTCGTGTTGTGTCTGGGTCACTGTTAACAGTCTCCGCCCTGGCCTCCTGGGCTCTGTTCTCAACTGGCTGCATCCTAACGCTGATGTTCTTTCTGAAAGCTTTTCATGTCACTTCCTTGCTTAAATCCTATGATGACCTCCTTTGGACTACCTACCACATTGTTTGTACTTATCTGCTTGGTTTACAAGGCTCCTAGCAATCTGGCCCTTTCCCAAATATCTACACCTTGATTTTCCCATGACATCCCATTCCCCCACAAAAAGAAAAGTAGTCTTGCAAATGAACCTTCTCTCTTGGTTCTTGCTTCCTACCTAAATCGGAATACTCTTCCTTTTCCTTCTGCCATGGAAGTCCCACCTGTCTCATTCAGGAATCTCCCTCTCACTGCCAGAGACTGCACTGGTTTTTCTTGGACTCTTACTTTGTGCACCAGATAACTCAGCCCTTAGGTATGTAGTCCTGGGCAACATTCTCCTGACTCTAAAGTTAGGCTCCATGAGAGCAGTCACCAGTTAAGACGTTTTTGGTTACAAGTAAGTGAAAATCCAATTCAAATTGGTATAATCAGCAAAGGCTCACAGAACTGAAGCATCCGGTAGTAGGGCTGCCTTCAGGCTGGGCTCAACACTGCTCCCAAGAACCCATTTTCTTTATGTCTCTCTTCTCTGTCTTTCTCTGGGAATAGCTTCAGTGCCCCCCAAAAGGCTGTCAGAAGCTCCCAGAACTACATACTTCCTTACTTATGTATAGGAGGAGAGAGAAAGTCTACAATCCAGGATCCCCAACACATTCTCAGGATTTCTTCTGATTGGAGAGGTTCGGGAACATGTCCATGCCTGACCAGTTCCTGTGGCTGGGAGTGGGATGTGCTGATTGACAGACACACGTTCTACCATCTGCCTGCTAAGCACATGGATCCTCAAACAGAAAGAGGAACTGGTGGTAGAGGGGAATGGGGGTGGGAGAGACACCCACAAATGTCCCTGAATACTGTTTTGGTATTCTCCACTAAACACAGGCGCCAGGCACTCAACTGTACAATGACTGTCGGATGCCTCAAAACACCAGCCTTTCCCATGGATACTCGAATTAGGGCAGAAATTAGACCTCTGTTCCTTTGGACCCCAGTGTCCACTCCCACCACCCCAAGTGGTCACTGCACCTCTGTTTCTCAATAGAGTTCTGTTTGTTACAGACAAGCCTATACCTTTGGCTATTTGGTTTTAAACTATGGACAAATTCTATCTTACAGTCCCTCCCTAGGGCAGCCGGTGGCCCCCACCACCCCAGCCTCCTGTGTGCTCAGGGAGGAGGCAGATCAATAGCCGTGAGTCTCTGTAGGGTCAGCTCCTTCCCTCACAGGACTCCCCTGGGATCCACGAGGCCTTCCCATCAGGACTTACTCTTCTGGTAGTGAAGTAGCCTGAGCTTTTGGGAATTGAAGCTACAATGACCTTCCTTTCTAATATCCCCTCTCCCCCTCTTCAAAGAGAAAGATGGAGAATAACCCCTTGCCCCCTCACCCTGCCCATGCCTCCCAAGGCCCCCTGTCACCCCTCTGCACATGCTCAGTACACTCAGCCCACAGCTTTCCTGCTGGCTTGCATCCATGGCAACCTGCTTGGCAACCAGGAGTCAGTTAGGCTGAGGCCCTGAGCCCCAACTGTCAGAAGGTGTGGAGGCTGAGGTGGAGGCATTTGGGGCTGTGGGTAAGTCCCCTTGGGGTCAGACCTGTGGACTTGGGCAGGGGCAGACCCTAACAGGGCACTGGTGGGCTGGGGCGGTGGGGTGTGACCTTGGGTCCTGGGTCACAGCTGTTGCCTCTGAACAGGTCTATAGAGGCCACAGCCCTGGGGTCCCAGGGGGGCCTGGAGCTAGAGTTAGTCCTGTATGAGACTGGGTTAGGAGGGGAGCCTGAGCCTTGGGCTAGGGGTCCATTTGTCATGAGGGTTAGGATTTGTGAAGGGAAGTATGGTCTTACCCCCAGGACTCCCTACAACTAGGGAGAAGGAAGGAGGAAAAAGCTAATGAATACTGAGTTATTTGTGTGCCAGGTGCTTTCCATATATTATCTCCTGCGTGGTAACTGAAGTGCAGAGGTCAAATGAGCATGCAGCCAGCAGGCTGTGAACGGTGGAAAGCTGATTTCTCTGAAATCACAGTTCTTACTCTTTCAACCCCTCCCCTATTTCCTGAGCTGAGATTTCTGAGGCAGTTGGTTTAGAGGACACCCTGAGCATTTGTGGGAGCGGGCGGGGCTCCAGAGAGACTGCTAAGCACAGAGCTGAGTTCTGCCCCAGCCAGGCGCCTTTTGCTGGGCTGTCATCTGTAACTCATAATGGTGCTTGTTCTCAGGTGGTTTCTCCGAAGGCCATGGAATCCACTGCAGAGCCTGGGATGCCTTTGCCCAAATACTGCAGCGTGGCCACAACCCTGGAGGCCCCTGCCTGGACCAGCACTGCTTCTCCCTGGGACCTCTCTTTTACCTGCCCCTTTGCCCTCCGAGTACCGTGGCACAATCCCCTCACCAGGTACTGGACTTTGCCCCTCTGAGGAAAGTGGTGGGCACTTGCCTTTCTCCTGTCTGTTCTCGGCTCTAGATGGTGTACCATGAGGGAGAGAACTTGTTTCCTGGGAAGGCCGAAAGGGTTCTTTACTATGTAGGCTATGATTTGCTTAAGGAATTTACATGACCCCTGTCTAAACTGTACTCCCAAGTGACCCCAAGGGTTGACCTGGCTTTCACCCCACCTTGTAGCAGAGTGGCAGATGTCAGAGTTGGCATGTGTGAGAGAAGGCAGTCAGGCACCACCAGTTATAAAGTTTCTAGCTCATTTTACCATCAGCTGAGATTTGCTCAGACACTACATCAGAAATTAGGGTTTCGGCAACCGACAGCTAAGGTGAGGTCTCTGGGTTCCCCCTCAGGTTCCCTCAGTATCCCTCAGTTGCCCTGCCTTTTCCTGAATATTATCCTCAGTCAGCTGTCTATAAAGTGTGCATACAAGAGGGGAGAGGTACCTCAGCCTATAGGCACATACGAGCTGTATCAGTCCCAGAGATTCATGTCTGTGCTCCTCAGTTCAGCCTGCCCAGGTTAGGGACATGCCAGCTTGAACCCTTAATAATCTTCTTTGATTCACCTACGTGGACCATCTCATTCAAAGCTGGGGTTAAGCACCCCTGTATCCAGGCTTGCCCACAAAGTAAACAGCTTTTTCAGAAANCCACTGTCCTTGGTAATAGAGGGTAAGGTAGCACTTCAGCTATGCCTCTTTTCATTTTAGAGTGGGGAAGAGGGAAATGAGGAAGCTTTTGGAAACCAGTTCATTTAGTGTATGTGTTGAGGGTATAGGGAGAGATTAAAACCAACCGAGATAAGATCCTGTCCACTCATATGCCCAGGTGAATGTGGCCCCAAGCTGGTAACCAACAATTCTAGTATAATGGGAGTCAGGAAATTAAAAGACAGGTTTTTCTTCTGCCATGGGTTAGCTATACAGCATTGAATAAAGCAAGGAAAAGGCCTACTTTCCATATTTGTAGCATGTTGATATTAATATGAAAAGATTTCTTTCCCCTACTCTTTAGGGAAGCTTCTCTTTAATATAAATGACCACTGTTTGTTTTGGTCCCTGCTTCTTAAGGGAAATGCCTTTGGAAATGGTGACTTATGGGAACATTTCACAGATCTGACTCCTCATCGCTTATGCTACTTGAACCACCTGTTCTGTGGTTGAGTTCATCCTACTTCTGGCAGTTGACTGCCTAGGAGTGCTTGGCCAAATAGATGGTCTGTTTGGATCTGTTCTTTGAAAAGTCCAGCTGCTTCTTTCTATCTCTGTGGCTGAATAGCCGCTATTTTGTGTGTGTGTTTTACACTGATCATGCCATCTCTGATGTTCTCCATTCCTGGATTTTCAGGATCACCAGCCTTTTGCAAATGCCCATGATGTGCTGGCCCGCTCCCACAGTCGAGCCAATGTGCTGAATAAGGTAGAGTATGCCCAACAGCGTTGGAAACTTCAAGTTCAAGAGCAGCGAAAATCCGTCTTTGACCGTCATGTTGTCCTCAGCTAATTGGGAACCAAATTCAAGGTAACTAGAAAGCAACGAGGCAGACAACTGGAAAAAATTGACTGAGTTTTCCTGGGTTTTGTTTTAATACTCTGTTGATTTTGCCAACTCTTGCTGGAAAAATTCAAAACCTGAAACAAAAACATGCTTGGTATTTCCTTTTCTTGTTAACATACTAATAGAGACCTTTTTAAAAGCACACACCTCAAAGTCAGACATTAAACCTTTTCCTATTTGTGACTTTTACAAATAAAAACAAGTCTGCCTGCAAATTATCTTGAAGTCCTTTACCTGGAACAAGCACTCTCTTTTTCACCACACAGTTTTAACTTGTTTTCAAGATAATTTTCAGGTGTTTTTTCTTTGGCAGGGAAGGGGAGGGATGCGTGGGAACTGCTTAACATAACTTTTCTCAAGTCACTTTATTAAACAAACTTTTGTAAATAGATTTACCTTCTGTTTTCAAGTTTCATTTATATTTTGCAGTGTAGCCATCCTCATCAAAGCCCCAACTTATTCCTTTTGAATTTTGCACTGACTATATTATCTAGGTATCTGGTTGGCCTGTGGCTGTACTTCATGGTAAACTAGATTGGAAATGCCTGATGGCTCTTCAAAAAATACAGATTTTCCTCAAGTACTGTGATGTCTGATGCAATGCATCCTAGAATAAACTGGCCATTTGCTAGTTTACTGTAATGACTAAACATAGTCCTGGTGTATGTAGTCTTTCTCATCTTCTAATATCTTTAAGGACGAATTCTAAGGACTTGGATACCTGCAATAAAGAAATTTTCTTTTAAACCCAAGCCTCCCTGGATTGATGACATACACATATTTGTCAGTATTTTTGGTCAGATTGAGAGGCAGCTGTTTGAGCTCTAGTATGTGCAGCTTTGAACTAGTACTGGGGTTCTGGGTGCCTCCCTCTGAAAGGTGGAATAGTTATTGGATAACTGGCTTTTTTCTTCCTCTGTCTTCTTTGGAATGTAACAATAAAAATAATTTTTGAAACACCTACCAGTGTATCTATGTCTCCTCTAACTTTTCTCTCCCCCCTCTTTTGCTGTATGATGAACTTGAAGATGCAAAGGCATTCTGTACGCTGTTGCGAGACTACTGTTTTATACCAGTATAATCGTAAAACATTGGTACTAAATTATCTGCGTGTGCATGTGTGTGTAGAGAGAGAGAGAGAATGTATGGGTACTAAGGTGAGTCTCTGAAAGTATATAAATATCATTTTGATCAACTGAGAGATTTAAAATGCATGAAGGAGCTAAGAAATCCATGGCAAAAATTATATTAGAATTAAATTCATAAGTATGAGGTTTTAGGAGCTGTTAATGGGTATTTTGATTAGTGAAAAACAATTTTTTTAAACCCAGAAATCTAACCTGAAATTATTGATTTTATTGTTAGTATTAAAAGTTGTAAGTTCAGCTTCAACCAAATGAAATTTATGCCAGGTACACAAGATTGGTTGAACATTCAAAGACCAATTAATAAAATCCATCCCATCAACAGGCTAAAGAAGAAAAATAACATGATCTTATCCATAGATGCAGAAAAAGCATTTGGCAAAATTCAACACCCATTCATGATAAAAAAAAATTTTTTCTCAGTAAACTAGAAATAAGGGGAAACTTCCTCAACTTGATAAAGAACATCTACAAAAAACCCACAGCTAACATCATACTTAATGGTAAAAAACCAGAAACTTTATTGCTAAGATGAGGAACAAGGCAAGGATGTCTTCTTCCACCACTCCTTTGCAATGTCATACTGCAAATCCTAGCTAATACAATAAGACAATGAAATAAAAGGTATACAGATTGGGAACAAAGAAATAAAAGTGTCTGTTTACAGATGACTTGATCATCTATGTAGAAAATCTAAAAGAATTACAAAATAAAACAAGTAAAACTAAAAAACCTCCTGGAACTAATAATGATTATAGCAAGGTTACAGGATAGAAGGTTACTGTACAGAAGTTAATTGCTTTCCTATGTACTAACAATGAACAAGTGAAATGCAAAACAATATTAGTTACATGAGTACCCCCCAAAATGAAATAGGTATAAAGCTAACAAAATAGGTATAAAATATATATGAGAAAATCTACAAAACTGATGAAAGAAATCAAAGAACTAAATAAATGGAGTGATATTCCATATCCATGAATAGGAGGACTCAATATTGTCAAGATGTCAGCTCTCAACTTGATCTATAGATTCAACACAATCCCAATCAAAAGCCCAGCAAGTTATTTTGTGGATATCAACAAACTGATTCTAAAGCTTATATCGAGAGGCAAAAGACCCAGAAAAGCCTACACAGTATTAATGGAAAAGCCTACATAATATTAATGGAGAAGAACAAAGTCAGAGGACTGACACTGTCTGACTTCAAGACTTACTATAAAGTTTCAGTAACCAAGTCAGTGTCAGTGCAGTACAGCCAGAAGAACAGACAAATAGATCAATAGAACAGAACAGAGAGCACAGAAATAGACCCACACAAATATAGTCAACTGATCTTTGACAAAGGAACAAAGGGAATACAATGGAGAAAAATGTTTTCAAAATGATGCTGGAACAACTACATCCTTGTGCAAAAAAAAAAAAAANTGGTAATAATATTTTATATACAAGTCCATCATGATATTCCTATAGTGTCATTTTAATCTACCTGAACAAAATCAGTATGTTTAGACAATATGGTACCAAAGTCAAGGTTAGGTGAGCTAAGTTTTGGTGTTTATGCTAATTTGTTAGATGACCTTGGATTGGCTTATTTCCTTGTGGGAAATCGAGTAATCCAATGACTTGAGCCTTCCTTTTTTCCTTACCTTGTTTCTTATATCTTTGAAAATTTTTTTAACTTTATGAAATTGTTCTTATTATTTTCATTTGAAGGTTAAAAATAAAAAATAATGGGGTTTGCACAGCTGTTTTCTAAGTGAAGTGAAAAGTTGAGGGAATTTTGGTAAAGATGTCAGGGAAAGACCCTTTATAGAAAACTCTTTGATGTCTTTGAAATGTAGTCATTGTGTCAATGTCTTGGTATAAAAAGAAGACCTAGTGTTAACAACACCACGTAGTTACAGTTGTATATATAGTTCTGTGATTGTGTATAGCTTTCCATAGACATGTTGACTCTTGCCCTGGATGTATAATAGAGCTTTTGCAAACATGCACAGCAAAACAATATTGTTTCTTTCTTAGAGGCATAGTTTAGTTTAAGAAGTACTACTTGTGACTTGGATCCGAAGTTGGAACCTTTAGAAGCTTTGCTAACCAAGGTTTGGGAAAAGAGATCAAGGAAAAGGCAAACAAAAGCAATAAATTAGTATTGAATGCTTTTGTCATTTGGGCAGCTGTGTTTACATCTCATTCACAGATAGATTAGCACAGTGGTTTCCTGTGTAATGACTACAAACATCAGTGGCCTTGGTTTACTTTGACCAGGATAGGTTGGTTTTCTACAGATACCTGGGTAAGCCTTCAGTAGCC